CCCAAAGGGGTCGCGACCCACAGGTTGAGAACCGCTGCACTAGAGTAGAGGGTCAAGAGATGCGGTTAAGACAGAGCCAGATGAAGAGCCTCATCTACCAGATTCAGGAGTTGAGACCTGACCCACTTCCCACTGCGAAGTTGCTGAAGAACTTTAAGCAGGTCAAGGGCTCAGATTGGCACTGCCCAGTGTGGAGCAGGCAAGACAACCACAGCCAAATGAAACTATTCCCAAACAGTTTTGAAAAATTAAAACAAGCCATTAAGTTAACCACTTAACAAGCTTCCCCTTTCTCTGATCAACTCCATGAGCTAAGGAGCGTAGGTATCATCAGCACGATATTACAACCAAAGTAGTAAGGTTAGCTGACTTGTCTAAGTAGGGTTCTACAGCTAGAAAGTACACAAAAACCAGCATTCACCTTCCTTGCCGTTCCTAGGAGAGCTCCAAGATCTATCTTTTCAGTCTAGTCTGGGAGGCAGGCATCACTTGGTGCAGGGTTCACTGAGGTTAGCACTCTCAGCAGTACACCTACGGGTTCATTTGCTCAGAAAGTTTTGTGCCTTTACAAAATGATAGGGGAACCCCAACCTCTCAGAACTAGAGACAACACTCCTCCTGTGTCTCTTTCCGACTGTGGGAAAGCAAGGCCACAGGGGGTGAGGAAGACAGACTGGGTGGTAGGGGCACCAAGGGTTTCAGAATCAGCCTTGCTCTTAAGAAAATCACTTATTCTCTCTGCAATTTTAGTCATCGCCTAGAAACACAAAATAACAATTGTCAAAGTCTCCATACTCTAAAAAATGTCTAAGATTCTAAAACTATATATACTTGTATAAAGCATAGTATCCTGAAAACCTTCACATTATAGTTCCAATGTGTTCAAGGGTCATAATATATAATCTTGGAGGGTTTCAAAACGCCCAGGGAACATTCTAAGTGTTGCAACCAGCATTAATGTCCATGGTCAGGAGAAAAGTTTCGGAGAAGAGCAGTTAAAAAATGTTTCCTTTGGCAATAAATAAGAGTGGAAAATACAACATTTAAGTCCAGTAGCAGTGACTTGTATTCTAAAACTAACTTATAAGCCAACTCACAAGACATGGGATTGCTGGGTCATATGGTAACTCTATGCTTAACCATTTAAAGAACTACATGAGTGTTTTCCAAAGTGGCTGCATCATTTTACATTCTCATTAGCTGTGTACAAGGGTTCTGATCTGATTTCTCTACACCCTCACCAATACTTGTCATTACCTGAGTTTTCGATTATAAAACAAGTCGTTTATAAGTGTTCATTCGATCATAACATGCCCAGATTTTTGCAGACTTCAAGGAGCTCACCTTCACTGACATCAAATTTTAGACTTGAAAAGAGTCCAGTCCTACACCTGCTCCCCTAGCCTGCCCACCTGCAATAAAATGAAGGGACAGGAATAAACGAACCACACTCCCACCTACAAATAAAACTTTTACAGAAGAGATCAGCAGCAGATTTTCTAAGCACTCAAGAAAAGAAAGTCCCTGACAGAGATCCAGCACTGAGATGAACATGTGTTCCCATCAAAACACATTTGTAATTCCTCCTACTTAAATGTAACTTCAAACCATAGCAGCACACGAGTCTTCAGCACCTTTCATAAAAGAACCAAGAGATCTTATGTCTTCTCTTTCAGAATCCATTGTTCAAATCCTGCTGCAGTCGTAGAAGAGAAATGAAATCTGATTTAAAATCAGGACAAAAGCACAGATCCACTGGCACAAACATACAAAATTCCTAACTGCTCCCTCACCCCAAGCCAGAGACAGAGTGCACTGCACAGTCTTTCCCCCAGCTCTGCCCATCACTGTTCCTTATCGTCTCAGGGCAACAGTGCGAGGAGAGCAAGGAGCAAATACTACTGACATGTTTACAGCAGCCCAAGGGGGCAGTGAGACCAAGCCCCAAGCAAGAAGAGGGTCTAAGAATCTTAGCATCCGGTGCCACACTCACCCAACACATTTTCCAAGAGTCAAAACTGGCATCTGGGCCGGCCGAGTGGTTCAGTTGGTTAAGAGCTCACTCAAGAGTTTGAGCTCTGAGCAACAGCGGTTCGATGCCCGGCCCGAGCTGAGCTGCTGCTGAGCTGCCAACAGGTGGCAGGATGGCTCAGTTAAAAAAAAAAAAAAAAAACTGGTATCTTAGCCAGGAAGGGGGAGGGCCACAGATTCCCTTCTGAGATGCAGAATTACTGTGGTCAGGCCTCAGTTCTGCATTTTGTACAAGTTCTACAGCACTGAGGATGCGCCTCCATAAGGCTCTTGACTCTAGAGTCAACTTGTGCTACCCCTTTAGGCAGGGTTGGAGGTGGAGCTCCACTGCCACCAAATCCCCTATTTCTACTTGCCCATTCCCTCCATTTCCCTGTTTAATTACAGAGGGTGTTTCCAACTCAAATTTAGCATTTTATAAACATTTAGTAATCAACTACTATATGCAGGTGCACAAAGATATAAACATCGTCTCTGTAGGAAAGGGGTTATGACTTATCAGAGGAAACAAAACATTATTTTTAAAAGAGAGAACATTCTTTTATTTTTGTATAAAGGCAATAATGCTACTGCAGTTCTGAGGGAGTGAAGCATCCACAGGGGCTGCAATGTTCACGGAGTGTTTCATAAAGAAGGTAGGAAGGACCTGAGCTGGACTCTGGAGAAAAGAGAAGTGGAGCTGAAGGAAATGGGTATCTCAAAGAGGGCAAAAGCCACTCGAATGAGCTGGCAAGAGGATTTGTGTAGGGAAATAACTAACATGTGGAATGTTTAGTAAACCATTTGGTTAGTGGGGATTAGGATAAGCCCGGGAGAGGTAGGCTGAGGCCAGCTGGGCAGCAGCACCTTGAATGCCACATCAGGACATCAGATCTCAACTCATAAACCTGTAGCTCTCTTTTTTTTTTTTTTTAACTTTTATTGAGGAACAGTGTTTTTTTCCAGGACCCATCAGCTCCAAGTCAAGTAGTTGTTTCAATCTAGTTGTGGAGGGCATGGGGATCGAACTGGCAACCTTGGTGTTATGAGCACTGCGCTCCCTGTAGCAGTTTCTGACTTCAGTGTAGGATTTCCATAGTCCGTTGCTCGCAAGAATTTAAAATGCTGACATTTACAGGTGAATTACATGAAGACGAATAAGTTTAAGTGGACTGAGGACCTGCTATTCTAACACCATTCTTACACATTTGCACTTAAAAATGCCCAGCACAGAAAGTACTGCTATTAGCTACCTTTGGGTAATAACATGCTGAATCAAGCATCATCTAATATTCATAAATATTCATAAGGTTGTAAAAGTATTAAACAAAGGCAATAAAAGTTCTTGCATATTCTATAGTTTCCTTGGGGCAGCAGTTCTAATGTAGGATTATACCATGGATGGACTTTAATGGGCCCTTGAACCCCCTAAAATTGTATGCAAAAGGTAGTTAAGAACTCACCAAGGAGAGTATGGCTCTTTATACCTCTCAAAGAGGTCCTAAAAAGGTTGGGAGCCTACCTTAGGGTTATTTTAAAAGAAACCAGCAAGAATTTAACCCTGTGGCTGCCTTAAATTTCTAAAGGAAGGCTAAAGCTAAGGGGGGGGTAGGGTAGGGGGGAACGACGGACTGATTAACTTGGAACAATTTTGAGAAGCTCCTAATATTTTAGTACCTCCCTCCTTTCTAATCAAGAACTGCCCGAGGAACTGGTCTCACCAAGGTCAAAACTCATTCAAGATTCAAAAAATGGCCGGAGGGAAGGCAATGAAATAAATAACTGAGGACTACTAAACTTCTCTCTCTTCTCACAAGTAAGGCAACCAGCAACAGGCCGCCAGCCTCCTCAGGTTTCAGCATCTGTTCTCCAAAAGGATCTCCTGACCAATGAGCTGGTTTCTTTCAAAATTAAACATTCTGAAGGTGACAAGATCCTGACCCAAGTGCACAAAGTATTGCTGCTTGACTTTTTAGTGGTCTCATCCAGGCTTTTTGTAGAACCACATACAAGGTGCCTGTGCAGAGAAGCCAAGGGACCATAGGGAAAGAAAAATGTGTATGGAGCACTCAAAACTCTCTGCACACCAAGCCCTGGGTCTCTAACCCTCCCACCCCCGCGGGAAGGGGGCCCACAGGTATGTTTTCATTGGGCAAAATACATTTAGTCTGTCAAAAGTTAATCTGGCAGTTCCACACCATCCCCCACGTCAAAAAAAAATTTATTTTTTCTGATTCTAACAGTCCTACAGTCCCTGGGTCTCATTACACTGGCAGAATATCTCTTTAGGAGGTAAAATCAACCAAGTCATCACCATAATACTCACTTTTTCCTAGACCAAAAAAAGATCATACCACACCTCCAAAAAGTGGTGGACAAAAACCAAAGAAATTATGTCCCAAAATATAATTCGGACATCATGGACATTTAACCAAGCCCTTCAGGAAGAGGCAAACGGTGAGCTCTGAGGAGCACCAGAAGCAGGCGCCGGGCAAGAGGGCCTTCGCCCTTCCAGAATCAAAGGGCCATGACATCGGCCTGCCTGGTTTCAGCTATTTCGTCTAGTCTTAAGTCTCAAGCCGCCTGAAAAATCACTCGCAAGAACAATATCTAAGAAAGAGGTACGTGTATTTCTCACCCGGGAACAACACAACGCCCCGGAGAGCATCAGGCTGGCACTAGCATGCTTCAGCGCTGCGAATCAGCGGAGCCCAGGGCTTCGATCAGAGAAGCTAGTTTCCCGCTACCCCGCGGAACAGCCCTCGGGCGCAGGGCTCTCAGACCTCCACCTCGAGGCGGTCCCCCCCCACCCCGGCCTCAGAGCTAGCATCAGGGAGGCTCCAGGAGCGGCCAGTCAGGATGCTTGAGCGATGTTCAAGTGATGCTCTGACGATATCCCGGCCCTGCGCGCGCCCGCTCCAACCCCGCGCCCGCTGATGCTCGCCCCGCGGCCGCCAGGCCAGTCTATCGGCCCAGTTCCTGTCACTCACCGGCCCGGCCCGGGCAGCGGGCGCCCACGGCTCCCCACGGGAGCTGGGCCCCCCGGGCCTCCAGGTTTCGGCCCGCCCCCTGGCAGGCAGCGCAGATGGCTGAGCCCCGCAGCAGCGGCCCCGCACCGGCCGCTCGGTCCAGCTCCCGGCGCTGCCCACTAGGTACGGATCAACAACAAGATGGCGGCCAGCCGAGGGGGCGGGGGCCGGGCGTCATAGTAACCAGGGCTGCAAAGAACCCGCCTCCAGCTGAGACTTTCCCCAATCAACAGCCTCTTTGCCGGACGCCCCGAGAGTGCTTCTCGTTGACAGGTCAACTGATATGTCAATCAGAGCCAGCCTCTCACGGCCCTTGCCGAACGCTTCGGCACGTGACTGTGACGGCACGGATTGGCGCATGCGTGCCTTTCCGGGAGTTGGCGGCAGAGCTTTTGCGAGTGATTCTGAGGCCGTAGCGCCCTTGGCCTCTCTGCGTGCTCGGCTGCTGTGCGGACTCGGCAGCGTCTTCTCACACAAGCGCGCACACTTAGGGAATGTCTGCTGTGTGCTGTTTGCTTTTTTTGTCACCCACCCTGGAAGGGAGGGGTTGCTATCCTAGTTCACTAGTGAGGAAACTGAGGCGCAGAGGGGAAGGCCGGGCCAAGGTCAAGGCACCTTTGGAAGTGGGTGCACCGGGTTTTGTGACTCCTCCTGGTCCAGAATATAATGCCTTCTTCCCAGCAGCTTCCCCAGCTTTGCCCCTCATCAGTCCTGAGGTACAGCCATCTGTGCTTCCCCAAACAGCTCCTGGCCCATTGCCCACATTTGTCCTGTCTAGAATTCAGTTCCCAGCACAGCCCTGGCACACAACAGGCACCCTCTTTTCTCACCCTAGAGTATCTTGTCTTGAGTTCCTATAACAACATATTTTGTCCTGGACTGTCACTGTCTGCCTCCCAGGCCAACTCTTGAGTCCTGGGAGGACTGGTCCCCCATACAGAGCACCTAACCCTGGGCTTGGCCTCAGGATTAGGAACCCAGATGCAGTCACGTGGTACAGACCCACATCAAGTGTCAGGACTAGCTAGCTCTGTGACTTCTGAGCTTTGGTTGCCCCATCTGTAAAAAGAGGGTAACAGTTGGGCTCTTCAGAGATGAAGATTTAATGAGCCCTTAGAGCAGGGTAAGTGCTCAGGAAAAGGCCGCCTGCAACCACTTCGATAACAGTCTACTTTCACATTTCTGTCCCTGAGGCCAGCTCTAACACTAACTTTATTGAGGTGAAGTGTGTTTTTCCCACAGAAGGCTCTCAACTTCTTTCCCCACCTGGGACATCATAACTGGCTCAGGAAGGGAGGTTTTCCAGTGCCCTCATGGGATTTAGGTCCCCAGAGTTGGCAGAAGGGAGAAGATTGAGAGAACTGGGGATACCACAGTAAAGGTGGCCTCCACCAGACAGCAGGTCCTCTGGGAGAGCTGGCAGTATCCTGGGACCTGATGCCAGGCTGGGCATGGGAAGTAGGCTAGCTTGCACCTAGCGGAACCTGCCCTCCTGCAGGTTACCCTCCTGTAGGCCACCTGGCTATATGCAACAGCTCAGCTCAGCTCAGCTCAGCACCGGAAGGACTGAGGGCCAAGGAACAAGAAGAAACACATCAGGGCCGGCCAAGTGGCGTGTTGGTTAAGAGTTAGCTTGGGACAACAGCTCTGAGCGGCAGGGCCCCCAGTTCGGATCCCATATGAGGGCCAGTGATGCTGCGCCCTCTACAGCTAAGATAGTGAACAACAGGGCCGGCAGAGTGGCGCGGTGGTTAAGAGCTG